GGTCCGCGTCCAACTGTCGGTTGGCCTCAATCTCACCCGACATGTGACCCCGTGCTGAGCGTCAAAATTTTCTCACATGTCCATTTATGGAGGTGGCCGACAGAACGAAGATGGCAGGAAGCCGGGTTGGCTGGCCTGTCCATGACAATCCTCCTCCAGCCAAGATTAGGTTGCGTGTCGCCACACCGCCTGAATATCCTTCAAGTTGACTCTACGCTTCGGTCAGCAAAAAGAGGAATGCGGGTCACTCGACTTTTCACTTTGGCAGGATGAATCATTCTGGTGATCGTCGCGTTGGGCCGCTACGAGCTAAGTTCGACCTGAGGAAGACGAGACAGAGAGAGAGGGGGGGGGTCCAAATAAAGGTATGTGTACTGCGTCGGCAAGCCATGGGCCTGGGGAATGACGATCCTTCGCTGTCACGGGTAATTGTAGTTGGACTGTTGTGGGGACAGGAGACTCGGGTGAAGCCCTGGAGGACCAAGTCCGGTCATGGCTCCCACTGTTCTTCTGCTGTTTGGCTCGCGGACCAATTCTTGACCAAAATCCGATGGGTTGTCTTGCGCGAGGCCTGGATGCTGCCAGTATGGTGAAGAAAAATTTCGGCTTCCTGCTCGGAATGTCGCGAGACCAGATGGGAGCGGGGTGTTCGTCGTTCATAGCTAGGTAGGGCAGAGAGGGACCGCCGGGGCGTGTGCTGAGGCGGGCGGTTCGCTCAATGCTCGCCGTGACGGCTTCTTTCCTCTTCCTCTACTTGAGGGCTGCTTCAAGGCAGTTGGCGGTCAATCATTGCGAAACAAAGGATCCTTGGCTCTTCCGGCCGCAGATTGGGAGCCTCGGCCAATTTGAATGCTTCAGGAGATATCGTTGATTGGACGTGTCGGTGTGCGCGATCAAGGGCTGGAGTCGCGAGGCAGTGACAGCGGACAACCCAATTGTGCTGTTCCAGCGTTTATTTTGCCAGGGAGCGACCCCTATTTCAGCACTCTGTCGTCACTTGTGCATCATACGGACATGTCGAACAGTCTTGTGACGGCTTCTGCGCCTATGGTCAATGACGGTCAGCATAGAAATGAAGATTGATTTTCAACAAGGCCTAGGAATGCAATACAGCTTCTCTTGCAGCTTCCGGCGTACGCCATCCTGTCACGTCTGGCCTGGTAAGGCAAGTTCTCCGTGCCGTGCCGTGTCAAAGTTTTCTTGTCGAAGGGGTGTGTGCTGAGCGCACAATCATATTTGTGTATGTGTGCGCCTTTTTCGCTCCTTAGGCAAGACCTCCAACTGTGACTGGGAAAAAGCTAACGGCTGAAACGATGATTCGTGTCAGAACCCCCGTTTGTGAGCCATGCTGCATTCATCACCAGTTCTTTGACTTTCGGAATTGAAGGAAGACATACAAGCGATTGATGCAAATCAATATCCAAGCTTGAAGCCCTAATCTGGCCACTCTACGGGTTTCCACACGTGAGCCCAGGGCTACCGACAGTAGGAGTGGCTGTGAACGGCAGGTTACTGGACAGCGTGAGCGGTGAAGGTCAGAGCCCGGCCACTAGGAAGAAGGCGGCGTTGTCAGATGGGACTGTGCAAGGTCTATCGACCTTACCTCACCGCCGGGCTGGAAAGGACGCTCCTTCTTCCTGTACCACTCACATTTCAGGAAACAGGACTGGTGCTGTCTCAAGTCTTGGGACCTCATCCTTATCGTGCACATACGTGCACTGCCTGCCGTACCCGTGAAATGCATCTTCCGTTCGGTACAGCAACATACAGATAATCGACCAATATCCACGTAATATGAGGATGTATGAAAGCAGGTGACCCGGCAGGGGCGGTCCTGAAGTCGAGGTTCAGCCCGTAATCGCGCAACAGAGAGTGAATCGTTATGAAAGAGCCAATAACTTATCGATTCGGGAATCGGAAGCAGCATCTTGCGTCTCCTGTACCACCAACACATCCGGACGAAAGGAGAAAATGATATCCATCTTCGAGGTTGCTCTAGTTGCCCTTGAGAGTGGTCATTTCAAGGTCAACAGAGAGCTAGTCCCGGAAGCGTGAGTATCCCTCTGGTCCCGTAAGCTGCAAAACCACTGATTAGCCGACAGGGCCCGGCATCGTAGACCGTCAGAAAGTTCAATGTTTCTTCACAAAGAAAGCTTGGTCATGACCGCCTTCGCCTTCAAAGACGCTAGCGAACCTCGCAGCCAGTCGGGGCTTTTGTTACCCGCTGCCATTTTCTCAGCACAGCGGAGTACTTGCACCGCCATCGACAACAGTTCGATATCTCGCTCATTTGGTGATCCTCCCAGTCTGACTACCCAAAGAGGCTTAATTTCTGGCATGGCACACCTCGATGCTCAAGTCGACGCCTGCAGCTCCAAAGACCTTGACGTGGAGCAAGATCTCAACGTTAAGGCACCCACAGCGCGTTTTCCGGACACAAAATCAACATGACCAGCACACGGAGCCCCATCTTCAACCCTGGTGACCGTGTAGTGGCACTGGAGAGGAGCGGATAGTGGGATCGCGTTTGCGACGAGAGGGGGCGGCGAGGTCATGGAAGCTGATGTGGAGTAAGACTGGTGGCGCCCAATAGTATGAGAAGGTCATCATTACGTCTGAGGAATACATATATCAGCGCTGTCGATACATGAAATATCGAGGCTCACCAACCAGCAGGAGGCGACATGGAGCTTCATGAGGAAGCGGGACAATTCTCGTACCAAAGACAGGCGTATTGAAACAGTAGACTGCGCTGCATGTCGGAAACAAGATGAAGTATCAAGTCAGTTGATCGAATGCGCGTTAGTTCCGCGGCATAAACATCTTGTGGGAAGCTAGCTACTAGTAATGGCACGTTGAGTTGCGGGCGTTAGTCGACTTGGGTGGCTCTCCCATCGCGGCGGTAATTCAGTGACCTGCGGCGCGAAGTCTGCCCTTGTTACTTCCCAATTACATCTTACCTCTCGAGGCTTACTCTTTATTTTCCTGTGCCTCAGCTCTGACGTGGTTTCAGGGGCCCAAAAAGAGCTTATCCCCGAGGCCCAGTACGGCCATGTCTGTGGTCGTGGCCTATGCCGTTGATACTTGCCGTTTTCCCCTTTCGCTCATCGACCTGTGGTCTAAAGGGGCTATACAGCAGCAAAAGCCAATGGCTGGAGGCGAGTTTGGTCCTGTAGATGGCTCTTCAGCGAGTTTGCTTTCGCGGCCTGGGGGTAGTACCACAGGATATGCATGCTTTTAGTTCGAGGTGTGAAATGGCTTAAATGAGAGATTATTGAAGGACAGTGAGACTTACGTTCTGGCTCGATCCGGGGGACATGGTCATTTCTTGACAATAGTTGGGCGCAGGCCCTCTGATGTGAAGTATGCTAGATCATTCGATTTGGGACGTGACCTGCAACGTAGTCTCAAAAACCGTGGTTTGACATGGTTTCTTGCCCCAGAGCTAGAACCTACCACAGTATCCAGCTTGAATAGTCACTTAGTGTTCCACTGCTGAATGTCAAATCGGTGCTCGGAAGCTCTACTCGACCGTCTCTCTCTTTTCCAATGCCGCTGACTGCCTGGCAAGCGAGGGATCAAGCCCATCATCATGAGCTCTTTGTATTCGTATGGATGTGTCAGCCGTCGAAGATGGTGTATTGTGGCCTTCATTTGTCTCCAGGACAGCTAAAATCCCGTTTGAGGAGACTCTCCGGCGTTATCCCCTTTCCAGGTCCGTTACAAGAGCTTTGGAGGGTACGCTGGAGTTTCGTAGCTCTATTGACCTTCTTCATCGTCTATTACAATCAAGGACCATCTTTGAGATCTTGAAGCTCTCAGTTGGGTAGATCACAGTCAGCAAATCGTCTATCAACGAAGAAAAAGGGCTTTGGGGGGCAGACGCAGAAGGTAAAGGTTCATTGGGCATCCTACGACCATGCCCTGAATCGTCGGCCTGAACGGATGCTGATCGTCACCTTTGATTTCAATGTCCTGCGGATACCTCAATGATCAGAACTTTCGGGATACGTTTGGTGTTGCTAAGCTGTTTCGGAGAGTCACCGACGACTGTGCCATGAAGGCTGTACCATAAAAGGGCATACCTCGTCAAAGTCAGGCTCAAGGAAAACAAAGTCCATTGTCCCAATTTATCGAAAGACTAGTATTGAGAGTACATTGAGGCCAGGGGCATGCTTGATGAAAAGATTCGAACGTCAAGGACATACGGTTCTCAGACCTTTAGTCACTGGCGGATATGTTTCTCCCAACAATAGAGGACTTGAGGCAACTACTGACCTTGCAAGTCAATTGAGACTATTATATTCAACCTGTGCTCGATTCACTTAGGCACATTACCCATGGTGCACTGGTAAGGGACCTTCTGCCTTGCGGACGCAAGATTAGTAGTTCAGTCAAGCTGTATTGGGCAACTCTCTTGCGTCACCATCCAGGCCTAACAAGCCACGTCGACAATTTGCAACGTGGCGAGCTCTTTGTATTCGTATGCTGCGACGTGGCGAGCATTAATTCAGCTGCACGATGCTTCGGAAGTGCTATCGACGAAAAGCCCGGTTCTTCGTCGTTTATTCGGTCATTAGAATCTTTAGTTCCCTTGTGGCTGTCGTGCTGTACGTCGGATTTGTGCTCACCCTCGAAGCCCAGCACAGAAGCCTGGTAAGTCATCTTTAGCACATTGTCTCTGGACCATCCATAGGCTGATGGGAGTTGTATTGCGAGTCAGGCCCTCCACGCCAGAATTCTCGGGCGTCCGTCGAGAATGGGTCTAAGCTCTCCGAAGGCCCAAGCATGACACCAGAGTCGTAAGTCGAAACGAGAGTGAGCATGAAGCGAAATTTGTAGTCAAGTTATGAAATGGATATCTAGCCGGCCCATATCACCAATGTCAGCATCTATACGCCCCGCCCTCTGGATAAGCCCCCTTATCCCCTGCCCTGCGGCGACCACGACCGTCCTTTGCCGCATTAAAGCATTTGCACCAATTATTGTTTTCTCAGTCCTCAAATCCCATCCATAGAGGGCATACCTGTCGGCAGTCCGACCTCTATCTCATTCATAATGGTCTCATCTGTAGCAATGCTCGTCATGACTTCTTCGGAACTGTACCCAGTCCAGTATCCAGGGTTGATCTGTGAGGCCTTCTTCGCGCGGTAAATCTCCTGCGCCACGCCCTTGACCTGCCCTGAGGCTGTATCAGCTGCTCTCCAAACCCCGGAAAGCTCGCTGAGCGCACCAATATTGAGCCGCAACTGCTGACGCAGCTCGTCGTCGTCATGAGGGATGTAAATGAGGGCCCATCGACTGAGATGGACGATGGACGAAAGTGTGATAACGCAGGTGAAGAAGTGAGTGTGCGATATCAGGGGGACACGGTGGGTAATCATCTTGCTGATTTCGGCGGCTGAGGTTACAGTGTGGTTCGTGTGGGCATTGAAATAATCTCCCGACGGCACCGGGCGATGAGGCGCACAAGACGTAACGGAACGGGTCGGAGACGAGTCGAGCTGGGAGTGCGGCTGGTGCAGCATGATAGAGGTTCTGATAAAATAACTGATCAGCAACAACTCTGCAAGTCCTGACGAGCGACTACTTACGCATGTGTCATCATGCTAGCCTGGAAGATCATCTCATCAGACTGCAACTTTTGGCTGAGCGCATCGCGCTTGGCAGGCGGTAGGTGCATCCTCCAATTTGTCAACAACGCCTCTATACGGGCCAAATTCTCATCCTCTGGGCCAAAGATAGTCGGGACTCGCATGAATTTTCCTAGATTGCGACCCGCGGCAATGCGGTAGGAGAATGAAGAAAATTCACGTGTCTCGCCCGAAAACTCGCGGTCTTCAAGGTCTTCGAGATACATGGGCTGCGGGATATTCTAAGAAGTCACTGTAAGCAACGCTGGCAGGATGAGCGAGATTGTGCTTTTTGAAACTCACGCCAGACAGGAACTGATGCTCCTCGCAAGGCAGGCCAACGTCTGCAGGAACGTCGAACAGCAGAAAATTCGTCTGTCGGTGTACGCCAGCCACCATGCCATCTACGACGTACAAGTCCCACCACGTTCTCCGCCAGCTTTCCTCCAATATCGGTATTCCGCGCCCGTGCACGGTGGCGTATGCGCGGGTGTTGAGCTCAATCTCGAGGGCGATGCGCTCGGCATCAGCAAGCAGCTGCCGAGCCTTCTCCTGCTGGCAGCTGCCGTCGGTGCCTACGATGAGGAGCGTAATTGCCTGGACAAGGAAACCATCCTTCTTCGTGGAAGGATCTTGCACGAGACGCATAGCTTCCTCGAAGAAGGCCGCGCGGGCTGGCCCAACATCGACAAAGAGGGATCCCACCCAGCGCATGGCAGCCAGGAGGGGCTCGATATCCGCATCTCCAAGAACGCGGAACAGCCATTCTTTTGGCAAGACGAAGGGGTGACCGGCATGAAAATGTCGGTAAAAGGAGTCGAGGCAACGCTCGGCGGGGTTTTGGACAGGTCCCTGCGTCGGGATTAAGCCGCCATGGTGGCTCAGGCTCAGCTGGTTCGATTGATAGCCATTGGGGTTACCGAAGGGCCGGTAGAGCTGCAGATTGTGGATATCGCTGAGATGCGGCGTGCCTGCATATGCCGCTTGAGGCGTGTTGGGCAATACCGGACCGCCAAGAGCGTAGGGAGCCATTGAGACCGGCATGGCAGCGGAGGTAATTGCTCCCAGCAGCATGGGACAGCTGTCGCCAATGCTGACGGTGGACGTGGGCGGTGACGAGGATCGAGCTCGTTTGTTCGGGTTGGCGGCGGTGCCTCGTCGCGGTCCCTTGTAGCCGCGGCGGGACGCTACGTAGACGCATTCCGACTCGGACGCTCTGCAGCGACCGCAAGGGTTCTGCCCGTCGCACTTGAGGTGCTTGCTCCGCTGCAGTCATCAGGTCAGTCAGGGCGAGGACGGAGACGCAGCAGGGGGGGTGGCTGTTGGGACGCGGGGTTCTAGCGTAAGCCGGAGTCGCAAGGCAAAAAGCACGGTGACATGACTCTGAGGAAGGGGCATCTGGCATACGCAACCTAGACATGCTGCCGGGGTGGTCGGCGGTTGAGTCGGGCGGGCTTCACTGGTCGCCGAGGAGGTGGTGTTCGGTGAATCGCGGGAAGCAGGTGGTGTTGTGTCGGGCACCAAGATCGAGGGGTTCGGGGATCCATCGCTCGTGGATGCGGGATTCGAGAGTGGAACCTCGGGGTTCAGGACTGACATGGATTCCATCGTGAATGCACTCTTCGGGGATTGAAGATGATCTACCCTGTACTAGGTTCGGCATTCGACTGTCACAGGGCTGGCAACCGTGGGGAGTGAGTCTCGTCGTCAGGAGAATCGCGACAGTTGCCGTAGGTGTGCGCAGAGGAGAGAGTGGTTGAGCTAGGAGGAAAGAAGTAAAAGAAATTGAGGTGTTCCCGTCAAAGTGGAACGAATATGTGACGTGCGACGTACACGCATGCCCTGAACGTTTCGCTTTGTAGTACACACGTACAAAACGGTCGTACTTGGTGCAATGCAGGCGCCGGGTCAATAGATGGGGAGTGCGTTGCGGGAGGGGTTCGGTCGAGATTGGAGGACCTTGTCGTCAAAAGATGAGGACCGGAGATTTGCTCGAGGCCGTCTAGTTCGCTGGTTGGCTGAGAGAGGACCTTGAACAGCTCCCTTTTGCCATGCGAAAGAAACAACAATTGGCAGAAGAGGCTAGCAAGAAAGTGATTACCGGCGGAGGGCACAAGAAGTGCAAGCTGCCGAGACGATTGGAGGGCCAAGGAATCAAGGAGGAACCTGGTGAGGAGTCGCCCTCGGTTGCGTGCGTATCGGCGTAGCAGATTGATTGAAACCGAGTGCGAGTGGATTGGATCGGTGGCCAGGGTTGCACTGGGAATGTGGTTCAGTGCATTACCTAGGTAGACATTGGCGTGGATTTGATGGCGGCTGCATCCGATGACAAGCTCACCTTGCCGTGTGGCTACCGCGGAGAAAAGATAATATCCGCCGTCTTCTCACTTGGCCTCCCTTCCGCAAGGCATGACGTCCGAACACGCAGTTGATGTACGATTTGAGGGGTGGCAATGTTCGGGAAGATGTGGGATTCCGGCAGACCTTGGCCCAGGCCATGTGATGCCCAGCCTCTCAGAGCTGTCTTGTACCGTATCCCCCCTTGGATTGGTAGGGTATGGCCGGTTCCAGAACCGAACCAGAGCCTGATTTTAGCTTGCTCCTGCGAGACATTCATGGCGTGTTTTAGGGGCATCTCGCGTGGCGTGGCTGCCCCCCAACACACGAAGCGGACAAGGACTATTTGTGATAGACGGCGTCTCCGGCGCTTGCCTCCGACCGTTTTGGGTGGACGTGACAAGAATCCTGGGATCTTGGCTTGACTCCTGTTGGATACCCCCCCCCCTTTTTCGTCCCCAGGTGCCGGGCTGCCATGTGGTCCGTCGTCGTAGATTTCAGCTGTCAGGCCCACAGGGCGCTGATCTAACGAATGTGTGTTTCGTCTGTGCGATGGCGTATTGGTGTCCTCCTTGCTTGGTAGAACGACACGACGAATCAAGCTGGCATGATTTATGAGGGGTTAGGGCCCTCGATTGTTTTTGAAGGAAGACAAGGCTTCCTCCTTCCCACTGACCGGTCGAGGGACATCGGCGGGGAGCTCCAAGGTAGGTACAATAGGCATCTAGGTACCTACCCTAGCACAAAGGTAGGCTGGTACCTTCCCTGCCCGGGTAATAGAAGGGAAAGAAGCACCAACCGATGCTCATTACTCAGTGGTGCCTCCCCCATTCCAGCCACCGTCACTGCCCCAGTCGACCGCGCACCTTTCGTCATTTCCACTTTATCACCAAGCTTCATCCCTCAATGGTCCTGTGGTAGCTAATCGTGGGGTCAAATCTATCGATCACGGCGATTTGAACCGTTATTCATCATACCAAGTACTTGTGAATACGATAATAGTATTTCCTATCGGACCGAGCGCCCATCTGGGCCATTCGGCCTTGAATGCCACTCACATTGCAATCACCTTCTGATACTGGCTAGGGCACTGCCCCTTCGACACAAATGCCGCGGAAACCGGCTTCCGGCCATCCTTCAAAAGGGACATGGATGAAGCCTAAGGATATGCTGCATCACGCACGGGTCGCATACTCCGTCAAGAAATTCCATAATAGTCGTCGTGGTAACTAGAGCACCCCTCGGACTCCAGAATTCCACGTCGAGGCGAGCCATGGTACTAAAAGCACTCATCTGGCGGCAGGTCAAGGTTCATCCTGAGTTAGAACCGGCAATTAACAACATCCCACCCACTACCAGAGATATGTCAGCCAAATTTACTCCACTGAAGGTTGCGCAGAAACTCACCTGACTTTCGAGCCGAACAGACGAGACACGATACCAAAGATCGGGAGAGGTTCGCCGGTGAAGTATCGCTACTGGCCTTGCAGCTGCACAAATACATCTTCTGCGTAGAAGCCGCGATCCATCCTGTGGCATTTCTAAGCCAGACCGTACTTGCCCAAGATCAGCCATCGTCTACCAAAACACAAAGGCGTTGGTTTCCTCTTTATCAGATTCATAGCCGTGGGTGCCCGAAGGACCGGCCTCTGATTCTCCGGGGCGAGGAGTCTCGCGTCGTGGAGCACGAGAGCCGCGCTGGACGGAGCGCTCAGGCGAGGGAGCATAGAGTGTCTTGCCCCAGGAGACGCGGCGGGCTCCCTTGGTGGGCGTCGTCTTGGCTTTTGCCTTCCCCTTGATGTCGACCTCGAGCCTGAGTTCAGATCCAGTGGCCAACTTGCCGGCGCTGCTTTTGGCACCGACGGGCTTGCTTTTGCCTCTTTGCTCGGGGTCGGTGTCAGCGAGGAAGGTGCGGAGCGAGATGATGTCGGCGTCGGAAGATCCCAATATCACTGGCATGTCAATGAGCTCCGTGACGTCGCCCACATCACCAAAGCCATCGTCCTCGTCCTCGTCCGGTTCGTCTCCCGTGTTTGCCTGTCGACCTCCGGTGGCGGGCGAGGGCGGCAGGGCAATCACGGAGGCAGTGCGACGTTTCTTCCGAGAAATGAGAGCGGTGATCTCGGCGCGATGCTGCTTGATGTTTTTGTACAAAAGAACAATCATCAGGGACGTGATGACGAGCGAGATAGTGATCGGGCCGATGAGCTTGGTGTTGACGCCGTGAATGACGTACTGGACATTAGTTGAGTTGCTGTGGCTGCCTATGGGAGTGCCGCCAACACTGCCCAAGACGAACAGGAAGGCCATGATGTTGGGAATGATATGAGGATACATCTTGTCGTCGTCGACAGTGCGTGTTCAAACCTCTCTTTGGCTTCGTGAGCTTGGATACTGGATCTAGTCGGATGGAGCTGTGATTTCTGTCGCTATCTCATTTCTGTGAGGTTGCTCCTTTCATGATCTTTGACGAGAGTCAGGTTCGTGGGCTGCCCCTACAAAGAGATTTGGGAAAGCTGCCTGCGAGCGTAAGAAGAGAGACGACTGGACTTGGAAGGCAACTGTAGATTCAGTAGCAAGACTTTTGTTTTCTGGGGCGTGGGGCCGACGACTCAGCGAATACATGTTACGAGAGACCAGACGTGATCGTGAAAACCCCTTGGTGTTGAGCGGGCAACCTGCTATGGCCGCGACCCCTCCTCCGCCTTTCGTCGTTCCACTAGAGAAAGGACTGGATGCATGCTATCTGGCGAGAGGTGTCGTTCAAGCAGAGGCACTTTTGCTCTGGCCCTTTCTTTCACTCAGGTATCAGACACGGTGAGGCTTGCCAAAAGCATTCAGTCATGAACTTGTTCACCAGCATTCAGAAGTCCCTTGCACGAGGTCGTTTTGCACTCCATCTGATTATCTAACACATTACAAGGCCGTGACTGAAGATCCTCATGTCCCATAACCCAACACCTAAACTAATAGCCGACTGTGCGCCTTAGTGACCTTGCCCGTCTTTATACAACCCATACTCGTACATCAAAACCATTGACAAAATAAAAAGGCCAACGAGGGACCCGGTCCTCTGAAAACCATGTTCATACACCAAATCTACATCTGATCTTCATATCCTGGAGCTTGGTCCTCTGCCATAGCCCGGTTTTTGGCTTTTCCAATCCCACTTCGCCTTGCCATCGTACTTCGTGAACTTGTTGCCCAGAGCGTCAGCCACAGTCAATGGTTCTTCTGTAGGAACCAAAATTGGATGAGAGCGATATGGCAGCACATCCCTGGCAGACTTCTTCGGCGCCTTGGTGGCGGCGGGCAGCGTCTTGCGCTGCTCCTTGAGAATTTCCCTGAGCTCGTTTTCGTCGCTGGTGATTTGCGCCTTCAGGAAGGAGAGATCTTTCGACGCTGGGTCCTCTAGCGTCTCCATAACGGGTACTCTCGGTGTGTAGACGATGTCGTCGAGCTTTGGTGCCAACGCTGGGTCTGGGACGATGGAGGGGTCAAGACGCGCCTCGTTGCCCTTATCAAGGAGGGCATTGATGTCGAGGCTCTCTCCGTGCGGAATGGCTGTGGCGTGGCTCGGCGTGATGCAGTCCATGTCAACCTCTTTCCGAAGAACGTGATCAATGTCAATGGCAGAAAAGTACGCGCACGATTGCGGGAGATCGTTGATGCCTACTTGCTGAGCAAACATGGCTCGCGTCCACACATTGGCGACCTGGAGAGCCATGGCAGCCCGATACTTATCATCGTCCTTCACGAGGTACCGGATCTCGTCGTGCACAGTGATGGCCAGCCGAGCGTCGATATTGAATCGGCGGGTTAGGTAGTCCATACTGACGATGAGCAAGTGCAGATAGTCGACACCAGATGATTGAATAGCCCAATTAATGCGAGAGGTGAGATATCCACCCTTGTTGATGAACCGGCCCATGAGAGCTTCGGTAATACCGGCGCCCAGTACTGGGGTTCGCGGGCGCTCCTGTTCGGCGAATTCTTCCAGCTTGTTGAAGACGAAGGACTCCGTTCCGCCACGCCAGAATGGCCTCTTGTACAGGACTTTACGGTTCGTCTTGGTGCCTTTGGTATTGACGTAAAGTTTCGAGGCAGTCTCCAGTGTCTCCTTTTCCGACAGGTTTGGGTCAAATTGCCGAAGCAGTTGCGCCGCGAATTTCAGGCCAGCGCCATAGATCCGACCATAGTTAAAGACCTTTGCATCGTTTCGCGTGATGCCCAAAATGCCAGCCGTTCGAGAGTGAAGATCCGTGCCTGCCGCTTTGGTTCCTTCCAGAGTCATGAAACCAATGGCGTTGCCACCGTGCAGCTTGAAAGTCGCATCACCAACAAGACTCGCGATCCACAGCTCCTGGGAATCCACATCCGCTCCAACAAAGCTGTAACCTGGTGGAGCTTTGACCATCGCCTTTAGCTCAGACCCGACACGGTTCCTCTTGGCATTGCTTGCCGTCAGCCATGTGTTTTCGACAGCTCTCCTTGTGATGGTCCCCATGGGGATGATCTGCGGCAAGATGAATCCTTGCGTGTTCTTGTTCTCCATCCCGCCTTCCAGTTTCTCAGTGGCCACATCTTCCTCATAAACCACCATCTGCGACTTGATGCGATCTCTTGCGCTGATCCAGTATGAACAGGAAGCGTTCATTTCCAAGGCTTCCTTGGCGTAGGAGTATTCTGATGACAGAGTACCGTTTTCAAAGTACGACAAGTAAGACTTGGCCATGGGGTTGGCACATCTCGCAGTGGGCCCATCCTTGTGGGGTAGCTTGAAGTACACGCCCTCCGTATCTTGTCGAAGAGCCTCAACCTTCTCATCTGCCATGTCGCACTGGGTCATTTGCTTGTTGAGATACTTGCTCGCCTCAGTTCGCGTTACACGGAAGGTCCAGCCATACGTGTCGGACCAACAAAGAGGATGTCCGTCCCAGGCTAGCCTCAGGAGAAGGGGGGCGATCCGCGTCCTGACAGTTAAGCCGATAGGAGCGTCGTTCTTGGCGAAGAGATCCTTATACCATCGGGGCATTCCTGGCTTCTTCTGTCGTGCAGCGGGTCGTGGCGGATCGTTCTTCTTCTTGCCCTTGACCATCTTGATCTCCTGGCCAGACCAATCGAGTTGATTAAGCCACGGGTCGTTACTCCACGTCTCTGACTGATCCCTGATCGCCACAGCCTTTTCTGCCAACGCCACGAGTCGTTCGAGAACCGCATCGTTGAGTTCATGATACGTTGCCTCGGCGTTGGCTATGTACGCATTCCAGGTCTCGTTGACAGGCAGGATGACTGACGAAAGATGTCGGAGAGCGGCGAAGCTGACGGGGTGAGGGCAAGTTTCAAGGAAATTCGGGAAGACAATCCGGTAGACTCGGTGGGTGATTGCAACATCCGCCGCACAGTAGTCCAACAATTCATCCAACTTTGCTAAGACGCCTGCCCGGTCGAGGGTGCTGAAATCGTCCCTGATCGCTTTGTCGATCGTTACATCAAGGTGGAACTTGGCGACATCCCTAAGCGAGTTGACGGAACTTCGCTCAACCCAGAGCTCCTCTTCTTCTTGACGAATGGCGCTGTTGCTTAGAAGCTCAGCCAGTTGCGCATCATCGGTTTGCGTTGCGATGCGTTCCCGTAGTTCCCTGTTCTTCTTGTGCTTCATCCAGGTTGGTCGTTGCTGAGAGCACATACCGTTGACCGCCACATGTAATGACATGGTGTCTAGGAACGCGTTTCTCGTCTGTCGCACTCCGTATTCTTCTAGTATCCTGGCGCGGTCGTATCCGATGTTGTGTCCGACGATTATGCGCTCTTTTGAAGGGTCGCCAAGTGGGATCAGGTGGCGGTCGTTGGTAGACTCGCCGAGTAACCATGGGGATAGCCAAGCATACCACGCATTCGGACTCGATGCGCATGCCATGACGGCAAAGGAACTCTCTTTCCACAGAACTTCGGTATCAAAGCACAGCATAGCATCGTCTGGCGCGTTGACGACCTCCGTCCTCCCATCGGGGTAGTATTTCGTCCAGCCACTCCGTCGCACCCATTTCCGCGGCTTGGGTGGTGAGTTGAAGCGAGAAAAGTCTTTCGCATAGCTCAGGTAAGGTTCGGCAGCGTCGAGGCCTAGTTTGTGGAAGTGTTCATCCAAAGTGCGCCCCTGAAGACTCGGCAGGTCAAAGGCTATCGGGTCGCTGTTGTCGGTGTTTTTCCCAAGAAGTTCATGCCTTCTCAGATGGTCTTTGGACATTTCGATTAGGTGTTTTGGCGGCGGAGTGTTGCCATCGGGAAAGATCTGGCTGTAGATGTGGGAGCTCAGCTGCTGCACGCCGATCTCGTTGTATCTCGCCTGCGATGACACTTTTCCTTGGTGTCAATAGGATGCTTTGCACGAAATGACGCATGACTTACTGGATAAACTGTGTCCTGTATCAGGAGAGCCAGGCTTGGAGGCAGCAGCAGATTGCCATCGCGCATCGATACGTTGTTGCGGCCGACAGCTCGCATAGTGCTTTGCTAATCGTACATAACTGGCTGGCGGACCGCTTCGAAGGCGGCCATTCGCAAAATGGAGCATCGTGTTACCGGTCGCTATTCGGCATGATACGGCGAGAGGCGAGAGTATTTGTTCAAGAGTGATGGTCGACCATGGCGTTGATGTTGCAAATCGTTCGCGGATGTCTGCCGAAAGCAAGATGCCGTCACCACTAGAGCACGCCCTCAATAGGGGCGTAAAACGTGAACGATGGGACCAAGTGGGGAGTGGGACCCTGAAGGGTCGTGATAAACTGGTCTGTGCACAATACTACATCTGCTCCCCCCACCAATTCCAGGCCCATGCGACCACGTGATCTGGCGCTCAACTCAAGAACACTACGGCGGGCGCTCAATATGTCGCGCTCATTGAAGATTGCACTTCTCAGCACCATCATCACCTAGGTCAGATCGTTCTCTTGCACGAATGACCAGACGATGTACTAGCAAGTAGTCCCGACAAGAAACCTTCATTACAATTTTTGCATGCGTCTTTTCGGATTGAGCTATTATGGGGTGCGTTTGATGCAGGGCCATTAATCCGTCTGACCCAGGATCACCAACCATGAGTAGGTATTCAGGAAATGATGCAGAATGAAGGACAGGTCCTTTGTTCTTCTAGCTGTACTAGGCATCTGCGTTGAAAACGAGGTGGCACTCCTTTAAACATTGCTTTTCCTAGCTAGGTACCTATACTGCCTACTTTCCTGCCAGTCCGCGCCGTGCCCATGCAGCTTGCTTTCCTTACATTGACTATACATGGCCATGGTACTTCGGTTCCTACCTACCTCGAGATTGTTTAGTAGCAACATGCTTCCTGCTACCGAGGAATCTACTGCAACTCAGGGCTTCCACTAGGCAGGGTGTTGTCAGAGACCAACTCAAGACTCGTCAATGGAGACACGATCCTGGTGATCCCCTCTTTTTCATCATGATGTTGGTCTCGGATATGTAGCCGTTTGCGGTGTTTTCATACTGATGTGCTTTCAGGTCTTTCGCAGATACTCCGCGGGTTTGTCAACCACCTTGGTCTCGCGTCGACATGTCTAACGTGCGCCCCCCAAAAACTCCCGACCTGATACTGCGGTTGCTGCCGGAGGAGTTGATCGTTGAAGTCATGTCGCAGCTACCTGCACACAGTTTTCATTTCGCGAGCATCAGTCGCAGGACCCTTCGGCGCATCAATCAGACGGCGCGTTTCGATTTGTTGTATACGCCTGAAGCAAACCGGAGGGTGTGAGGCTCGACCGGATGAGACACAAAGTAAGAAACCAAACATGACGCAAAATGAAGAAGCTCGACTATCAAGTCATCTGCGGCCGCTCTTATACTGCGTCGAATGTGTAACAGCCTGCAACCATTTTGGCTCCGCCAGGCGTCTGCACGCTCTACACGAAAGGGGATACTGCAGCAGATGCAATGAGACACACCCGGCTGTATTTTTCTCAGCAAGACAGCGACAAGTCCCGCAATGGAAGCGCATATGCATTGGATGGGAAGGTTGCTTGGTCTTTTGCTTTCACAAGCTCTCACAAGCCTGGGAAGATATCGACACGGTGGTGACAAACGCCACGGAGGCCGACTATGACAAGATGCCCAAGGGCAGGAGCGGTATCCGCAGCCGTTGGCACCACAGCTACACGTATGCTGAGCGAGGTTGTCGGGCCTGCAGCTACCCAAACGGTGGGTCGTATGTGGAGGGTAAAGACTACATACATGCTGCTCGAGCCACCATCGCCTTTCGTGTCCAGGGAAAAACTCCGACAATATGTGTCAGTTGGAAACAGACTGTTCAGAATGCTGCTCTCTCATCCGCCAAAGATTTACAACGTCTTCACCAGAACCCACCTGCCGGGGATGCGGCAAGACTCCAGGCTTTTGGAACAGTCCTTGTGGCCGAAGGCAGGTCAAACATGACAATTTGCCCGCATCAGACCTTGGGTGGATGGAATGGCGACGGCCAGTGCAGCGTCTGTTCCTGGAGATTGTACATGGCCGGCTCGATGCCATGCAGCGAAGTCAATGTCGTCCGCAGGCTCTGGGTAGATAGTCCATGTGATTACGGTTGGTTGCGTCGCTTGGTCCTGCATCGTAGGGCATGCAAGAAGATCAGGCGAACCGCAATAATCTCTGTTGTCCGAATGAGAGCCGATCTGCTGCAGTGAGGGGCTGGCAACTGTTCTGGAAGTCCACCAGGCGAAGAACTTCACTCTTTCATGGGACTTGGGGTGGGCCTCGCGGGTAGGCCCCCTAAATTTGGAGAGTTTGAAGCGGTGGACAACCACGACGGACGTGGTACAGAAGCTGCTTGAAGGAAGAGGAGAGCCCTTGCTGTGGCCATATCGAGGCGGTTGAGCTTTTCAGTTGCGACGACAAATTCTACCGAACCCTTTCTAGAAGCTGGTTGATACGGCTGAGAGGGGATGAAAGCACCTTGGGCATGCATCTTGAGCATTTTGAGGAAGAGGCTGGCGAGGAGGAGAGCTGTGTCAAGTCGGTGCCTCTTCGGACTCCCAATTCGCTCCCAGAGGAAGTGAGCAAGAAATTGAAAGGGTTAGTATCAAATTGAACTCTTGTGATGTGCCCAGGCAAGATCCACGACCACACCAGGTCATTCCAGTTTGGTAGGAAAAGGCTTACGTCACACGGAATCCCCACACGGCAACATGCCGCCCCCGAAGACTGCAGGCACTCTTAGCGCACACATGGTCTGAGCGTCCCGCTGTAGGCATTACCTTGAGGGGCGATCGTTAACTTTCGCTACCTTCGCTAGGTACCTTCAACATTACCAAGCCAATTTCGCCCCTCCTGTCGGCTACCAGTCCTGCGCTGGCTGGCAGCAACGTTATTCGGACCAAACCAGCTTGCTATCGCCTGGCTCAGCAACCACTCTTCTTCTGGATCTCCGCCCGCCGGACCAGATACAAAGCCACAGTCAGCGCAACGTCGCAACCGCCAGCCGAAATCCCCCAGCAGGAGGCCTCTGATCATGCCGCCGACCACAAGAAAGCGCGGCGCCCCGTCGTCAGAAGCTCCAGAAGCAACCCCTGCACCAGCTACCAAACGTCGCCGTGCATCCCAGGCATCCTCAACCAAGAGCCGTACAGACACACCTGCCAGACCACGCAACGTCCGCGCGACTGTTATCGACGACGACGACGACGACCTCTTCGGCGAGAAGTCTGGCACAGCAGTTGCCCCAGAAGACGATGATATCATCGATCTCGCCACCTCAGACGAGATACCCGCGGCGGCGACGCGACCGCCAAAGGAAGACAGGAGGGTGAAGATTGGTGCTTTTCAGTGCGCGATCTGCATGGACGACTGCACTGATCTGACAGTAACGCACTGCGGTACGAACTATAGCTGAATCTTGAAACTGACGCCTGCTCATACATCAGCAGGCCACCTGTTTTGTGCCGAGTGCCTACACTCTGCGCTCCACATCGAAGCGACACGAAATAAATGTCCCATCTGCCGTACAAAGATCGATAACAAGGATCGAAATGCATATAGCACCAAGACAAAGGGCTTTTGGCCGCTGGAGCTGAAACTCATGACAGCTGCGGATCTAAAGGGAAAGGGCAAGCAGAGGTAGCGACCTTCGACAATGGCACAGGAGCGTGAACCGCAAGGTCTAGGAGATGTCTGTAGTGGAAGCTTACAGCCTACACCGTGCGACCGGAACGGGACAGGACACTGGTATTCTTCAGCAGCATCGACCATTTCGAGATCACGGGCCGAAATACGGGAAAAGTACAGTTTACGAGTGGTGACGGACTATCAGGGAGGGAGGCTGGCGTTTGGTAATACCCCATCAATAGTGTTTTCGGCTTCGGCCAGGTCAGAGGGCCAAGATGCATAGACCGGCGTGTCTAGGTACTTGCTGCAATCATATTCATATCCAACCGTAGACCCACCTACACGCTACATGCTGCGACGTGACATGCGTGGCATGCTCCTTCCGACGTGACAAGGTCATCCATCCGGGGATCACAAGCTTTGGAGAGATGCTCAAACACTGATGCTTCTTCCGCCACATTGCCTCACGTTACCGCCGACCTAGTTGTCTCTTCACAAAGGCTTTGAGCCGCATCTACCTAGTTATACACCATCCCTTAACGCCTGTTTCAATGCTGCCGGACCACGTCAGCTACTTTGGTCTACATCTGCTCCCCCACAAGTGAACGAATCCTGCATGGGATCATCCTCTGGACAACCACATTTTCTCCTCTTAGCGGCCTGCAGTCTTACGGTGCTTTAGTGAAACAGCGAAGGTCCAGTGTCTCTCCGCGTTTCGGGCATTGTCTGGTTGTCATGCTGTATCTGGGTAAGCTCAAGTTAAGACAAAGTCGGACCATCATGACCACTTACCTCCAAGAAACCAGTCGCGGCAATCAGCACCACGAAACCTTCGGCCAACTCCTCGATCCACTCTTCCAGAGGGCTGTCGCCACCCTCAGCAGCACCAATGCCAGCGCTCCTTTTCAAAGTGTGCGTGACAAGCATGCGGTGGTCAGTCAAGAACTTCTGTCCTTGACCAACGTAGCTAGCTCCCCGACAGACAATCGCTGCCCCGATGATGTGTGTAGCCTTCGCAAGGAGCTCATAGTGCTTCTCCAGTGCGCGGGGCTTGGCTCTGTCGCTCTGCAGCTCAGGGTCCGCAGCAAAGAGGCCAGACAATTCGAGCGCTCTGAGCAGGTTCGCGTGCAAGACATATTTCGCACCCATCCGGGTCTGTGCCAACTGCAGGAGCAGGGCCAACTTGGACGACAGGTAAGTTTCCTGCGCCTTGTCCTCGGTCTTGATGATATGGGTCCATTCCTCGTGGACATTGCGAAGCGAATCTATGACGATCCCGATAAAGTTGAGCCTATTGAGTGTCTCAATGACGTGAGGGCTATCTTCTGCGCGACTGAAGTTGACCAGCGCATTCAGAAGGATCATGGCAGCTGTCTGGCTGTCCGGCTCGCTGCCGTAGGCGTCGTCACAGATGATGCTGATTAGCCTCTCGCCATACATTTGGATTGTGCGCATCGTCTTTGGTCGCTCGGCCACGAGCATGCCTTCATCCACCATTCCGGTCAGGTATCGATAGCAGATACTATAGTAGATGGCTCGGATATCGGAGGTGCCGGCCCATTTGCCAATGGCCTGGAGCGAAATCTGGAACAGTTGGTAGAGCTTGTCGCTGACTAGGCTGCCGATGTTCTGGCTTTCTTTGTCGACTGTCGAAGCTTTCGTAGTGAGATCAAGCTTGAAAAGCAAAACCTTTCCCAGCTTCGCCAGCTCCGCGGCCTCGGCCGGCCTATCGCATGCATATAGCTCCAGGCCGGGCAAGATGGCTTGCAAGGTTTGCAACAGGAACGATGTCCGAGCACTGCCCTTGAAATCGTTAGATTCTACCATCACAAGGAGTAGGCTTGTCCACGTCTTTAGGACTCTCAGGCTCTGGGATGCGATCTGCTTCTGCCGGTTGGATGACACAAGATGCTCAACTATTGAAGCTTCCTCCTGCTCAATGACAGCAAAGTCCTGAGCTGTGAGCAGAACGCCCTCGCCGCGCCTCTCACTTCGCTTGAGCTGCAGAATGTCCTTGACGCGCTCGATGTTGGCAACGGAGTTGTCATCCGCATCCTGTTCAAAGCATGTGCTCAGATCCAGGCCCTTATAAAATTGCACGGCGGGCTCCGAGTTGTCCCACATGCCGTCAGGCAGCAGGAAGTCGTACAAGTCATACACCGTTGGGATTGTGATGGTTTCGTTTTCGTCACCCTGAAGTCTCCCATTCAAGGCTTCGAAAATGCGACGTTTCGCAGACGGAAGTCGACTTTGTGAAATACTACAAAGCTCCATGGCGATATACTCCAGGGTCATGCTGCGTAGGGCTAGGAAATCGACGAGGGTAGTAGCACCATTAGTCAGCGGGAAATGAGGCTGGTTGATGTCTTCGCCTTCCCAAGCCAGGGCGGGTTGTATGACAACATCCCGCAGAAGCAAGTGGAACAAGACGTCGTTCTCTCGCAGTTCATCGATGACGAAGGATGCTGACAAGGAGGAGTTCCAGAGGATGCGCAAAATCCGCATGCATTTGAACTTCAGCGTGATGAGCCAGGATCGCATGCCCTGGTTGTCCCCAGAGGGGGTCTCCAGCAACAGTCTTAAAACGGCGTGGAAGAGTGAAGTCCGCTCCGAAAAGGTGCCATTCGCATCGACGGTCAAGGTTTCGACGCCGCATTGGAAGCCAAGCAACAGGTGAGCGATGGTAGGTTGGTTCGGCATCGCAGCCAGACAACTGTAAAGGAAGTCGAGGATGTAAACCTTGGTCACATAGTTTGGTGACTCAGCCTCCCTGCCCAGATCAAACGATGTCGTTAGCTCGGAAGCCAGTGAGCGTGATATCGCCTCATCATCGCCGTTGGCCTCCATCGCAATGATGGCTCTGTTTCGCTGTGTTTGCCGTCCGGATGTAAGTGTCCACGCCGATGTGATTTTGGGGGCGCTGGACATTCTCTCAAGCAGCTTCAAACAAGCCAGTGTAACATCAGGGTGGCCGATACCGCAGTAGCTGCCGAGGTCTACGACAAGATTAAGATGGCTAGCCAATCCATCCTCGAAGGACGCGAACGCTGCATTGGACACAGTCTGCCTTCGATGGCTCGATTTGGACTTGATGACTGGTCGCACAAGTTCGACATAGGTCGACTGGAGGTCGAGGACTTTCGAGATAACCTCAACGGAGCGCAATATGCTTGTGATGATGGGTGCATCTGGAGAAGCATTCCCAACTTCAGTCGCATCTTGGTGAATGATCTTGAAAAGAGCGTTGACAGTGCTGTCGTTAAACATCCACTCCATTACACGTGCAAAAGGATGGAGTCGAACATAAGTCGCAAGATCGGTAGTGGCAATCGCCGCATCGAGCTGTATGTTCGTCTGGTTGGCCAATATGATGAGGTCCTCATTGAACGTTGCCAAGCAAACGAATGCGAATTCGAGGCAGCTGAGCCTCAACAGTCGCGCCTGATAGACGTCGTTGGCATCAATAATCTTGGGTGAAGACAAGGTCGCGAGAACCAGGTCCACGTATATCTCGATCCCGGGCATGCGGAATGCTGAGCCCAGCGTCTCGGGAAAAGGTAGTGAGTCGTTCAGGGAACTGCTTTCTTCTGAAGGCGTCACCAGTGAAGTCAAAAATTGTATGAAAGCGATGCCTTCCTCTGGCGTAGAGACCAATTCATCACCGATCTTTTGCTGAACGTCCTCGGGAGGGTTAAGAGGAGGTCGGTGATGTCCAGGAGGGAAAACAACATAACCGCCGCCCATCCAGCTCTCGAGACAAGTCCACATGATGTGACCTTCCTCTTGAGACTTGTGCGTTAGGAGACCGCGCAAAGCAGTGAAGACGCTGGCTCGGATGTGGGGAAGAATAGGACTGCTGGCGAGCTGATAGCAGACCTCAACAAGATTGTAGTTGGGCTCCTTAAGTAAAAATTGTCTGGCCGTTTCACTCTCCGATGTAAGCTTGGTGATTAAGCCTAGGTAGGCCTGTAGCATCATTTCCGACTCTGGTTCTGCTTCAGCTTGCACTGTGGGCGGCCTACCAGATCGATAGAGTGTGGTCTGAGATGTTGGTGGCGTATCTCGAGTCTTGTTGGCGAAGAATGTGAGTTCCCTGAAGATTTGATGCCACGTCAAAGACTGTGACCTTCTCATTTTTCCAGATGCGTGATGTCCCTCATCTAACAAAAAGTCGTGGGCAGCAGTAGCACAGGTGTCATTCCCGGAAACTGCCTGCAGCATGTTGCAGAAGGCTGTAACCAAAGGTGTGGAAGCTCGTCGCGACGCCCAGTGCATAAAGCCCGCCAAGTTGCTATCAGGGTCGAGCCAGAAGTTGGTAGCTGCGTCCGATCGGTCCTCGTATGACATGGCAATAATAAGCAGGAAGCGCTCGAGATCAGTGTCTTGTTCGTGTGCTTGACTGAGCTGTCGCTGTTCGTCCTCTTCACTGCGAAGCTTTCGCAGAACGTCAGGGAGATTGGAAATGAAAGCATCAACGAACACCTCTAACTGAGCGGTAAGGCAAGCCTTGAAGAAGCTGGAGAATGGCACAGTGTCGAATACCAGCGATGGTGTCTTGCGGGCTAGCCACTTGAGCAACGCCGCTCTGGACGGGTCCTGCTGCTCTGCACTGTTGACATCTGCGAGGATGGAGAGCAGGAAATCAAAAGCTCCGTCCCTCAGAGCATCGAAGAAGGTCTTTGATCGTTCTCGATCCTCTTCTCAGCATTAGCACTTGAACCTTAACGCTGTGAATATATTCACATTCACATACCTGCATCAAGGTCGACGCCTTGCAATCCACCGAGGAGTCCGTCATCCAGGTACCATCCGCTGTACTCGGCAACCCACCAAGCCTTGACAGCTGCTTGCAAGTTTACCAGAGGCCAGGAACTGTCGTCATTGGGGCGGCAGATAACGTTATGAAGTTCCCGCGCGACTGTGAGGTCCCCGATACCTTCCGTTGAGCCAAAAGTTGTGATGTAAGCACCGAGGGCAGGAAATAAATGCACTGTGATGTCCCATGTTAGTAGAGCTCCTCGTCGGGCGGAGAACCTCGCGCTTACCAGTGAGGACGTCATATTTGTCCGCCTTTCTGAGCTGGTCAAGGAAGCCACGGAAGTCAGCCGTCTCCGCTTCCTTCTTTTCCACGGCACGGCATAGAACAACAGCCAGAAGTTCATGCTGCTGGACAAGACTCGCCCGGGAGAACTCGAGCGTTTCCAGTCCCTCGGGCTTTTCCCTGTTCTGGCCGTTCATCAAGACTGCTGCCGCAGTCATCTTGTCCGCGATCCTTGCGAGCCAAGAGCGTACATCTTGCATGGCGGACATGCACCTAGGCAAGAGTTTCTTCCGGTTGACATCCTTGAGAACGTTATCCGCCAAATATGCCTGGATCACGTTGACCACCTCGGGGTCTGCCTCATCGTCGTCCAGGTCATCCACCTCAAACATCAACCGCAAACTGTCCAGAATATATTTCCGCTGTTGGTGGAACCTGATGATGGCGCATTCGAGCAGTGGCCGTCCTAGAGTTGCAGTGTCTTCTTCGGCTTCGAGAACATATCGAGCGGCTTCGATCTCGTTAACTTCGGCTTCGTCTGCCAAATTGAGAGCAATCTGCTGGAATTCTTCGTTGACGGAGTATTCCTCCTCATCAATGAAGACCTTGCCTGCAATGGCGGCACGTTAGTCGGAAATTCAGCCTCGCAAGTTCTTAGCTGCGAGAGCTCTGCTAACCTGACTTGACCTGAGAGCGACTCTTCTCGTCTCTCGCCGGGCGCTGCCACAATCTAGACAGCTCGCGCTTGAAAAGTTCCTGCACAAGTGAATTGTCCCAGGACTCTGTGTTTTCCGGACGTCCTTCGCGTATTGCGACGAGGTCGCGATGGAAAGACTGCAGCGCGACCAGGGTAGTGATCTCGGCCATGCTGGGCGGAAGGGCGCTATGGCGTTGTCGAGGACGGCGCAGGCTGCATCAGCTGTAGGCGTGGCCCTGGAATAGGAGGGCTTGCAGCACCTGCTGTTGCTGTCGTGGCTGTCGATTGTGTTGGTTCGCGGGTTCCGCCTGGAGATTTGTTGGAATTTTTGGCGCGCGACGAGTCGCAGGTGTCGAAGCTACTAGCACGCTGGAGCTGTAGCGGGCAGCAGTGGGTTGAAATCCAGCCCCCCGTTGCTGCGGCGGGCATGGTAGGAGACCGGCTAGTCTCAGAATCGCAGGCGGTAAGCATTTCTGCCAGTCATGTTGACCTCGATCATCCACCACCGTACCACGCTGATTCAAGGGCGACATGGCTTGCCTGTAACTTGGAATACAAAGCCTTCTGACTCCCGCCACGGGTCGAGAGCCAATGAGCCCTACGCTGTGTGAGTATGCGAAGCGATCAAGTGTTTTAACAATTGGCATCCCAGGGGTAGCACCAATTTTGAGCACCGACATATCAGGAGCCCCGGCCAGGAGCAGGTGGTGAATGATGAATCACAGGGCCACCGGAATCTGAACAACACAGTTCCTAGATATAACGGACATCGTAAGGTTTAGGTCATGTATGTTGCAACGTTCTAACAACTTGTGTATCTGTTGCACTCCTCATATCACTAAAATGTCTATCGCCTTGACTTTGAATGCCTGACGTGAAGGGTGGGAAGTACAAAAGCACTTAACCATCTTCGGCTAGCGCAATGATGAGTGGGATCCACCATAGCTGCCTGGTGGGTCTTCAGTGGCCTCAAGCTCTACACCCCAAAAGTGCCTGGTCATGGACATCTCACAGCCTCACAACAGCTTGGACGCGTCTCATCGGCGACCACATATCATGAGGACATGGCGCCCGCTGCATCGAGAGGGGATGTCACCCTGAATGACGCGCTTGGTAAGGAAATTTGAACAATTCTAGGCCGAAACGCGGTGTCTACAGATGCTGATCTCATCAGATGCCATCACTGGAGGCACGCTAAAGGTCAGGGGCACTGGCTTGGACGACTTAATCTTTCTCCTTGATGAGAAGAAAGCCAAGACAGCCAACCTGTAAGTTCGCCAATCTTGCTTCTCACGAATCAATGTCTATTCCCGAGTAGCCGCTGCATTCAGGCGGCTGAACAACCTTAGATCCATTCTGGCCGATAAGCACTACCATCGCATCTTCGAGGCTCTTTTCAGATGTGCCATTACAGAAAAGCAGAGCTACTACAGCGGAAAGAAAACCACGGCAGCATCTGCTGCCACACGGCTATCCAAGTGCGCTGAGGCTCTCCGCCTGGCTTTGAATCATGGGGCCTCCAAGTTGAAACGCAAGACGGTACTTGCAGTCATCGACCACATCACCCAGACGCTGCCGGGGCCAGACAACAACTCCCATGAGATGGTGGAACCGCTTCTGCAGAACTACATCAAGGCCATCGTTGCTCTCTTATCTCACCAGGCTAATGTCGAACACCTCGCCACGTTTGAGGGAAATGGTGAGGGCTGGTTGGATTGCATCGACTTCTGCCTTGACTCGATGACATCCTACCTCGATGGTAACGAACACGACACAGGCGCAAGCGCCCGCGCATCCCCCGCACCAGGAACGTTCTCAACACTGCGGTCTACTCTTACTAGCACAGCGAGTCAAAAACAACCGACACAATTTCATCGCAGTACACTACAGGACTTGCTGCACTGCCTATACCTCCTCCTCACGCCGCCAAACGCACCTATTACTAGGAGGTCCAAGCCAATAGCAAAGACCCTTGTACAAGTCTTGAGCTTGAGACACCTCGGCCTGAGCCGGATCACCCATCTTGCATTCTCTTCTCTCAACATCATCCTGACAAGCACTCAATCTCATGACCTTGTTCGAACCAAAGCTTTGGCCGCAGACGTCGCGCCGCTCATCAGCCACTGGTGGCAAGGTCGAACGGTTTCGAAGGACGAGATGCTCAACTCTGTGCGAGATGAGATGTTAAAGACCATATTTGCCATACATCTGCATCTAGAACGACTGCTACAGGATGGAGATGACTTGTCAATCAAAGGTGACGTGGAAGATCTCTTCGACACTTTGTGGTTAGAGTACACGAGGCGCAACGAACAATCGCAGCTGCATATCGATGACATTAGCTTCACAATAACAACCCCTGACGACTTCTTCCGTCTCCGCTCATTCGGTCTCCGCCCGCACAATCAAGACGGCGAGCGCAAGTGGGTGATGCTCCAAGTCTTAGCATTCCTTGAGAAAGCTTTGTGGAAAGCTCAAGCCCCTCGGCAATCGCAACATGAAATTGGAACAGAAGAAATTGAGCAGCCCCGCAAAAAGAAACGTCGAATCGACGCAGCAAACGACCGCCTTCAGGGCAGGCTGAAGTCTCCCAGTACCGGGGTTCGACGAGCTACTTTGCAACTAATACCTTTTCTTCTTGGCCTCGACTTCATTTCTGCCCGTGAAGTCCTGAATCTTCATACTGAGCTGCTTAGCTTTTTAGGCGAGGCCGGGTCCACAGCCTCGTGGGCCATGGTGGCATACAGTTGTGTTGCTGAAGGTCTCGGAAAGGGTCACGAAGATAATACTTCAACTTGGCGTCCGGTCTGGCAACTCAGCGCAAGAGCTGTCAGTCTTCCAGCCACATGTCGCGCTGCTTGTCATTTGATGCGATCTATCCTAGTTTTCGAGATGCTCACGTATCACAGCGTCTCAGACGAGATCACAAGCATTGTCACAACCGCCGATGTGAATGGGCCTGCGATCCTAGTTGATTCCTCTATAGCATTGATGCTGCAACTTATACTCCTCCGTGGCGTCAAGCTGCCAAACCAGAATCAGTCAACCTCGCATCACGTCATCCGGTGGGTTTTCCTGCGCTGGAAACCAGGTTAGTTCCGCCTTCCAAGCTACTGTAATGAGTACAACTTCTTACAAGATTTAGCTGATGTGGCATTTGCCTCGCTTCACTCTCCCCACGTACACCCGGCAGAACTCGCCAACTTGGTCCGGGCTTGTTGTGGAACTGAAATGCTCCCTATTCAATCACGGCCTGTGTCGGGAACCACAATCTCTCAGGCATGGAGCGCGTATCAGCAGACTGCCCCTGTTACAAGCTTTCTGCTCTTATTATCCAGCACCGCCTCAACAGCTAAAGAGGATTATCGAGCTTCTCAAGGCAATAACATAGTCCTTGCGCATGATTCGACCAATATACACACAACCCAGAGGCTGATCCTCGAACTGCTGTTCCCCAAAATCGAAGAACTACAAGAGCTCTGTCGATCATGGGGCAAGAGAGAAGGCAGCTCACAATTGTCACTTGAGAAATTACAGAGTTTATTTTCTGCTTGTGTCGTTGGTACACTGTTAATTCCACAGGTCGAGCAACTCAACTCCCGACAGTCCAGAGATATTGAGGCAGCAACCTTCACACTTCTAGACTCAACATTGGACGCCGTTCTCAGCGCTCCTGAGAATCAAGCCTTCTTCGAGCTTCTTCTTGGAGAAACGTCCCTCCATGTACCTGCACTCAAGACGGCCGAGCTTGGAAAATTTGTCTTGCACTGCCCCTACCTCTTGCGTCTTCTCTCCCGCTGTGCCGTAACACTTCGTCAGCGATCAGCCAGAGAACCATCGGGTCGAAATATTGATTTCATGGACCTAGACGATGAGTTCGACTCGCAAGAAAGCGGAACAAGTAACTCCGTCAAGATACCAGATGTCCCTCGTCGCAGCGCAGCCCTGCAATGGAACAGTGAAGCCTTCTATCTTTCGACTGCCTTACGACTTTACTTCCTCGAGGCTATCGATAAAGACAGAGAAAAGATCGGTTTTGTTCCAGAGCCTTTCTTTCAGCAACTGTCCAGTCTCTCCAGACAAGACTTTCTGTTGTCCACGGCCGTCACATCTGAAGTGTTCAATTCAGACTTCACTATCAAGCCGGACGAAGCGCTTGTGATCGTTGAGAAGCTTGGTGAGATGATTGGAGAGACGGAGTACACCTGCTGTGAGACGATACACTCCATGAGCCTCAGCATCATCAAAGGACTTTTGCGCGTCTGGTCAGACAGCAAACACGACGTGGCTACTTTTGTCGGCGACCTCTATCACTATTTCGTCAAGGCATCCCTCCCGAAGAATAGTCTTTCACCTCGGTCCCAGATCGCACTGGCTGAGCTTCTATTTTGCTTGCTACGCGAGGATCCTCAGTATGGCAGCAATCTTGGGCTTGCCTCTTGCCGTACTACCCTCCTTTCAATTCTACAGCAGGGAAGTATGACCGTCAAGTATTTCATAGCCATGCGCTTGCCTGAGATATTCGCCCTATATGTGCTCAAGACACATGACGAAGTATTTCTGGATGTCTTAGAGAGCTTGCCTACGGATCCCGGACAGATCGAAGGGATCGGATTTCGAATCTTGGTTCTGTCGGAACTTGCTTGTCGGTGGCCAACGCTCCTCCGCAGATGCACATATCACATCTTCGAGACTCCAGGCAAGATAAAACAGTCTAGCCAGTACGCCACTCGATGTCTAGCTAAGGTCTCAACCGCCCTGAAGCTGGAATCACCCAAGGAGCTCTTCAGGATTTTCAGCCCTCAGCTGTTCTACACTTGGCTCGACGGTGATGAACTTGAAGAGATGCCGTTTGAAATTTTCGGATTCACGAGTCTCGAGGACATGCTCAAGACGGCACAATCTGAGGCTGCAGCACTAATGTTCATGCGAGGTCAGGAAGAAAGCACTGCCAGGCTTGCCCAGAGACTTTCCATTACCCCAGCTACGATGATCAAGCAAGGCTTCTCGAAGATCGCAGCCTATGCAATGGCTCACGATACCAGCGCAGGCAACTCGATTACAGCAGCGGAAAGCCGTATCCGCAAGACCTTGGGTAAGGAACCATATCTTGACGCGATTTACGCCAATTTTGTCGACATAATCGCAGTCTTCTTCGACGTGTTCGATCAAGAAGACCCGATGGACAAGTATTTCGGAAAAGACGAAAATTTTGTCTACGCCGCCATTGCCATGTCGGAGATGAAGAGTTTCTCCCATTCGGATGTTACTCTTCCGGCAAATCAGCAGCCAATGTTCAAAGGGAAGCATCTTCTCAGACAACTTTTTCATCTATGTAATCGGACGGAGTACGAGTTGCAAAGCATATGGACTCCAGCTTTGGTGGTGTGCGTAGCCCGAAGGTTATTCAACACCGTTCACCCAGCGCTGGGGTCCTTGCATGCTTGTTCCGTGTTGCGCAAAGTTCGCATTCTCATTTGCCTGGCTGGCTCCATTGCGCTCGATGTGTATGCCCTCGAGATGCTCCTCCACTCTATTCGGCCCTTTATCGTCGACTCCGAATGTGCAGATGACGCGTTAGGAGTCACACAATACCTCATCAGTAAGGGAGCTGAGCATCTTGAGCAATCACCCTCCTTCCTCGCAGGATATGCTCTCTCGACTCTCGCATCTCTGCGTGTCTTCCTCGAATCAAGTCAGTCAAGCACCACACAAGAAAGCCAGTTCAAAGCCACCATGAATAAGGCTCAACATTTCCACGCTTGGTTTTCCAACTTTCTTGCGCAATACGATTCTCCGTCTTTCAAAAGTCAAGACCAGAAAAACTCCTTCAAGTCAATTACACAATCCGCCTCGAATATTCGAACGTCTGGCAATGCGGAGAGCGGCACTCACGAAAGCACACTTCTTCTGGAAATCTTGAAAGATGATGATTGCGAGCAGAAACTGTTGAACGAGGCTGCCCGAGATCTCGCCCTTGGTCTGCTCTGTGGGGACTTTGTCATTCCACCATCTGCGAGATACGATGTCATTAGCGATGACGAAAAAGCTCTCCACCACGGCGGCCTGGTTTTGAAGAGCTGCAAAGCTCAGGCTCTCAGCAATGAATATCTAGCATGGGCTGGACGTGTTGTCGGCAGAGCTTTTGCTGCCTCTGGAGAGATTGAGCCAGAACTGCTCCGCGAATCGCAGCTGTCGAGCAGCCTCAAGCTAGCTCCTGGAGCTAATGGCTCAGAGCGAGGGCTCTTTACTCTGTTACAGCAGCTCACAGTGAGCAAAGACTCATTCACCGCAGGGCTGGCAGAGTCTGCTTTGAGGGCTGTGGTTTCGGAAGCTGCAGCAGAGGAGGATGAGCTTTTGACCACTGCTGCCCAGAAGACACTGCCCGAGCCCTTGTATCTTGCCTCCACCTGGCAACCTTATCGAACGCCGCCATCAGACACTGCTTCGCAACGAGTGCAACAAGATGAGTTTTCTTCTACTATGGAAGACATAGAGGATGCAGGTTGGATCCGAAAAGTGGTCACGTATCTGGTCCAGGCTGTCCCCGAGTTCATCATTTTGAGCGAGCTACTGCCCATTTTGACACATGTCAAAGGCTTCGCTGAGAAGGCTCTTCCTTTTATCCTCCACTTAGCTCTCTGTGGCCAAATGGAAAAGCAGCAAAGTGCCAGAAAATTCCTTTCTGACGCCTTGAAGGAGTGGCTCGCAGTCTCCAGCGAGTCATCTCATCACAACCAGAAGCACCTACTCAACGCTCTGCTCTATCTCCGAACACAACCATTGCCAAATGAGTCTTCCATTGCGGACCGCGCCAGTTGGCTAGATGTTGACTTCTCTTCCGCCGCCGGTGCTGCATCAAGGTGTGGGATGCACAAAACTGCCCTCCTGTTCTTTGAGGTAGCAGCTTCCCAAGTCACCCGAGCATCACGCAGGTCATCCACTATCCGGGAGTCTCATACACCTAGTGTGTTACTCAGTATCTTTGAAAACATTGATGATCCCGACGCTTACTACGGCTTGCCGCAGACTTCCAGTCTATCGAACGTGATGGCGCGTTTGGAATACGAAAATGACGGGTCCAAGAGCCTAGCCTTCCGCGGAGCCCAGTTCGATAGCCACATCCAGTCCAAAGATCCAGCCTCGCAGAACGATGGCCTGTCAATGGTCAAGGCTCTGAGTACGCTGGGTTTATCAGGGCTTTCGCATGCTCTTTTGCAAACCCAAAGTCTTGTCGAAAACACGAATTCGCTTGAAAGCACCTTTGGCACCGCCAGAAGGCTGGAAATCTGGAATCTGCCAGCACCAAATTCGAGTGAGAACCATGCGGTCTCCGTTTACAAAGCATTTCAAAGCATCCACCAAGCCAATGACTCTTCGGCAATCCGGCAGGCGATTTACGATGGGTTTGGACGAACAATGGCCAGTCTGACCAGTCGCGGCCTGAATGCCGCCAACTTGAGGCATCATCTTGGGGCGCTTGCTGTGTTGGCCGAACTCGATGACGTGGTCAATGTCGCGGACTTTGGAGAGCTTGAGGCTCTGCTTGACCGTTTCGAAAACCATGGCGAATGGATGAAGCGAGGGAGGTATGTATCATGGAATTGTTTGATTGAAGAGCAACCACTGACCCCATCAGGTATGACGATGTCAGTCAGCTCCTGTCGTCGCGTGGTACCACGTTGAGCTTGCTGAGCCAACAGCCAAAATTGCGAGCGGCAGCCAATCTTTCTATCAGCCAAGCACGACAGATCGAAGTCCGCTGCAAGCTCATATCATCTGGCATCTACCGTTTCCATCGCGCTACGCAAGAATCACTCAACATATCAACATCTTTAACAAATTTGATAGTGCCGAGCGAACATTTGGGACTAAATTTTGATGCAGCCGCCAAGATAGAGTCAGCCAACTCACTCTGGGATCACGGCGAGATGGTCTCGTCGATCAGGATGCTGCAGAGCATCGACAACGACTCTGTATTCAAGAAACAGAGTATCCCGGTCAGTCGTTCTGATCTAATGTCCAAAATAGGCTACCAAATTTCAGTAGCCAAATTGGAGAAGCCACATGACATCCAGAGGAAGTATCTTGAGCCTGCCTTGAAGGAGTTGAAGGGACGCACCGACGGCAAGGACGCGGGCAAAGTCTTTCACCAATTCGCCATGTTTTGTGATGAACAACTGCAAAACTCCGATGGGCTTGATGATTTGGCAAGATTACAGAATCTGAAGCAGGGCAAAAGCGACGAAGTTGCACAGTTGCGGTCTTTGATTTCCAGTGAAAAGAACTCGCAAACGAAATCCAGATACTCATCCCACCTTACCAGAGCGCAACAGTGGTTGCATCTCGACGAGCAGGAGCTTCGCCGGGTAGAGCAGACGAGGAGCGAATTCGTGCGCCTGAGTCTAGAGAATTATCTCCTGTCTCTCATCGCGTCCGACGAACACAACAACGATGCACTGCGCTTCACGGCCCTATGGCTTGAAAGATCGGACGACGATTCCACCAACGACGCCGTTCGGAGACACCTCGACAAGGTTCCCACCCGAAAATTTGCAACCCTCATGAATCAGCTTTGCTCTCGTCTGCAGGACCAATCAAACATATTTCAGAGGCTTTTGATCAACCTCGTCTATAACATATGTATAGACCACCCATACCACAGCATGTATCAGGTCTGGTCTGGCGTCAAGGTAAAAGCAAACAGCAAAGACGAGGTGGCAGTGCTGCGACACAAGGCAACCAACAAAGTCAAAGATCAACTAGAGAAACACCCTACGCAGGGCGCAATCTGGCATGCCATTGACAGAACAAACGGGCACTATCACCGACTGGCGGTTGACCGCGACAACCCAAAGTACAAAGCAGGGCACAAGATCAACCTCAAGGAGACGACTTCGGGCAACTACCTCGTGGCTGCTCTGAATAAGTACCAAATCCCGCCACCGACGATGCAGCTCGAACTGTCCGCGGACAAGGACTACTCTAAGGCTCCAATCATCGCGAGGCTCGAGCCGCAGATGTCGATTGCTTCGGGGGTAAGCGCTCCAAAGATCATCACCGCAGTTGGCACGGATGGCGTGCGATACAAGCAATTGGTCAAGGGGGGCAACGACGACCTCCGCCAAGATGCCATCATGGAGCAGGTGTTTGCTGCCGTATCATCTTTGCTCAAGCTGCATCGCGAGACCCAGCGGCGCAATCTGGGCATTCGCACATACAAGGTCTTGCCTCTGACATCGGCTTCAGGCCTCATCGAGTTCGTCCCGAATACCATCCCGCTTCATGAATTCCTCATGCCTGCCCATGAGCGGTATTATCCAAAAGACCTCAAGGGAAGTCAATGCAGAAAGGAGATCTCTGCGGTGCAGGGCAAATCTGTGGACGCGAGGGTCAGTGCCTACCGTAAAGTCAAGGAACGTTTTCATCCTGTCATGAAGTACTTCTTTATGGAATACTTTGTAGACCCCGACGAGTGGTTCGTCAAGCGAACTGCCTACACGCGAACCACCGCCGCGATCTCGATGCTGGGACACATTCTTGGCCTAGGCGATCGGCACGGGCACAACATTCTGCTGGACAATAAGACAGGCGAGGTGGTTCACATTGATCTGGGTGTTGCGTTTGAGATGGGCCGCGTGCTGCCGGTGCCCGAGCTGGTACCGTTCAGACTGACGAGGGACATTGAAGATGGTATGGGCGTCACCAAAGAGGGTGTGTTCCAGCGTTGTTGCGAGTTCACGCTCGATGCGCTAAGGGAGGAGACGTACAGTATCATGACCATCCTTGATGTTCTGCGGTACGATCCTCTGTACTCCTGGTCTATATCACCGGTACGGTTAGCAAAGTTGCAGGGTGGCAGCGGGGATGGGGATGACGACGTGGCTGGAAGGGGAAAGACGAGGGTGAACGAGCCTTCGGAGGCAGACAGGGCGCTGGAAGTGGTGCGCAAGAAGCTTTCAAAGACATTGAGCGTCACAGCGACGGTCAACGATTTGATCAACCAGGCCACGGATGAGCGGAACCTGGCTGTATTATACTCAGGTTGGGCCGCCTATGCATAGATGATACACACATGCGATGAACTTATTCAGAGAACTCTAACAGTTCGTTTTAATTCGCTTTCCGCATCTAAGCGTAATGAAGGAAATTGACCTCCTGTATCTACGGTCTGAGGCCACTTGTAGGGTGACAGCTAAGAAGGTCATCAAACGATTATGTCAGCATGCCTTATCTACCGAGGAAGCGCGATAGGAAGCGCGTAAAGTGGATGATGTCGTCGTTGCGGGCAGCTCTCGCCTCAATCCACCCCGTTGTTGCCCATCTCCTCTCCGTGTCTTAACTCCGTGAAGCAAACCCACCTCAACTGCTCCCGTTTCCTTCAGCGTGTTTCTCGACAAAGATAATTGACGAACTTCCACGACACCAGATTGGCGGGCCACTTCAGTAGCCTCTTTTTAAAGGCATTTTCACCGCATTGCTGGACGAACAGGACGACTCTGTAACTCGGACACCTTAGGCTGCGTAACAGCTTACTTCAAGTTGTTGCAGGGCCTCCCGGTCCTGTCGATGCCGTCGAAACCGAACCACCCGGCCGACGGAAAACTGCCATCGCGGGCCACAGGCTCGGTAAGCTCAGGCCTTCGCACAAGCCCAAGCTCATCGGGTGCACTGGGCGACGCAAGCATTAGCAGCCCATCGCGGCGGCGACCCCGCGTCGACTCTGACGTGCACGCGTCCCTCTCTACACCGCATCTTGCGCAACAAAACCAATACCTTCCGTCTTCGGCGTTTTCAGAAAAGCCAAGCCCAAAGCGCTTCAAGTTTGGCGCCGACACCGCTTCCATGACGACCATGTCTAACAAGACGAAGGGGAAGCTCCCTGAAGTGATTGACCTTACACAGCAGAGCGCCTTCCGGCCATACTCGGGCGCCAAAAAGATCGTGATCAAGAACCTCAGGCCACCCACGCAGACCGACAAGACCGAGCAGTATTATGATCGGACACGGCAGCAGCTCAAGGATGCCCTTCAGTGCATACTTCGCCACCAGCCTCTCCAACTGCCAATGGAGAGGCTGTACAGGGGCGCGGAGGATATCTGCAGGCATGAGCAGGGGCAGGAACTATATCGGATGCTACAAGAGCTATGCGAAGCTCACTTGAAGCAAGCAACCTTGCGATCCATCATCGACAGGTCGCCAGGCCCCTCAAATATTGACATGTTGCGGAGCGTCTTTCTCCACTGGCAGGATTGGAACAAGGCAGTTGTGAGTGCCACTTGCGTTCGTTCTTCTCAAGAGCCAATGCTAACACATGGTTTCAGATAGATATTCGGTCTATATTCAGCTACCTCGACAGGACGTATCTTCTTCGGGAGAGAACGCTGGGCTCAATCAACGACTTGACAATCACGCAGTTCCGGAAGATGCTCTCGTCTTCGGCCAGCAAGGACGCTACCAACCAGACACCTTTTACTCGATGTCTCCGCGGGGTGTGCGAGCTGATCTCTTACGATCGAGTGAATGACGCTCGATTCGACGCTCGATTACTGAAAGAATCAGTCCGTATGTTCAACGTGCTTAACGTCTACCAAAAGTCGTTTGAGCCGGCCTTTCTCCACGACTCGGTCAACTTCTTCCACGAATTTGCAGATGAGAGGAGCACAGCAAGTCTGAAGGAGTACATCCTTGCATGCGAAAAGCTTTTGAAGGATGAGGACTACCGATGTAACGCGTACAACCTTGACAGCACGACCAAGAAGCAACTTCTCGATGCCGCCCACGGCATCGTGGTGAAGGACTACTCGGCTAAGCTTCTGGATGTCGAAAGCTTGTCGAAGCTGCTTGCTGATCACGAAATCGAGTCGATGCGAGCTCTCTACGACCTCCTGCGGTTGTCGGGGATCCAGGCGAAGCTCAAGGACCCGTGGAAAACCTACATCCAGGAGGCTGGAGCAGCGATTGTGGGCAACGTAGAGAGAGGAGACGACATGGTCATGAGGTTGCTTGAGCTGAGGCGAGCTCTGGATTTGGTCGTGCGAGATGGCTTCAGAGGTGATGAAGTCTTTGGTTACGAACTGAGGCATGCCTTCGGCGCTTTCATGAACGACCGGAAAACGACTTCGGGGTGGAGCACGGGAACTTCCAAGATTGGAGAGATGATCGCGAAACACATTGACATGCTCTTGCGAGGCGGTCTCAAGGCTCTTCCCAAGAGTCTGTTGTCTGACAACAAGGATCGGGCTGCTGCCGAAAAAAGCGGGCAATCAAGTACGGCTGACGAGGATGCCGAGCTGGATCGCCAGCTTGATGCTGCCCTTGAGCTCTTCAGGTTCATTGAAGGGAAGGACGCCTTTGAAGCTTTTTACAAGAAAGATCTGGCCAGGCGGTTGCTCATGGGCCGAAGTGCGAGCGAAGATGCCGAGAGAAACATGCTTCGAAAGCTCCGGGATGAGTGCGGTGCCAACTTTACGCGTAATCTTGAGCAGATGTTCAAAGATCAGGAGCTCGCCAAGGAGGAGATGCAGCACTTCAAGCAATGGTCAGAAGGCACGAATGCTGAACAACAAGTCGATCTGCAAGTCATGGTCATCTCCGCAGCGTCTTGGCCGACATATCCCGACACGAAGCTCAACCTGCCTGAAGGTGCTGCGGCCGAGATCGAACGATTCGAGCGGTGGTACAACCACAAGCATGACGGCAGAAAACTCTCGTGGCCCCATTCGCTGGCTAACTGTACGGTCAAGGCCATCTTCCCGAGAGGCACGAAAGAACTCCTGGTCAGTGCGTTCCAGGCCGTTGTGCTTGTGCTGTTCAACGAGGTCGATCTCGAGGGCTTCCTCAGCTTCGGACAGATCAGCACAGCTACGGGACTTGCGGGTCCGGAACTCCAGCGGACACTACAATCGCTCGCCTGTGGCAAGGTCCGAGTTTTGAGCAAACACCCCAAGGGAAGGGATGTCAGCGAGACTGATACTTTTACCATCAACAAAGCTTTCACTGATCCCAAACTTCGGATTAAGATCAATCAGATTCAGCTCAAGGAGACGAAGGAGGAGAATAAAGCGACACATGAGCGCATTGCCGAGGACCGTAAATTCGAGACGCAGGCGGCCATTGTGCGGGTGATGAAGGCGCGCAAGACGATCGGACACAGCGAGCTGGTGGCTGAAGTGATCAACTTTACTCGCAAGCGTGGTCCCGTTGACGCCGCCTCCATCAAGAAGCTCATAGAGACGTATGTATCACGAATCTGTCGGTTGTTTCCTTCGCGTACTGACTCTTTGCAGGTTGATAGACAAGGATTACATGGAGCGCGACGGAAACATGTATACCTACATCTCATGATCGCCCACGCTACAAATAGACATCAGGCAGAGGCAACGGTGAGGGTTAATTTCTCGTCGGAATGCGGCGGTCTTGGTTCCTGGAAATGGTAGACGACTGCCTAAACTTGAGGGTTCGGTCTTGGTTATAGAACCTGCCAGTAACATGCATGATACATCCTGCACGGCACGATCAATTCCCATCTCGCTGTGGCACCAGGCCGAGTCGGTCTCTTTGGCGTGCCCACAGCACAACGAGATACCTATCTAGGGGGGCACCTAGGTTGTTAGGCTCCACTTGGACCCTGCCCCGGAAAATCGTTCCGCCTGCCAACGCGGGGTCCCAAAAAAAAGTTGGACAAGAACTCCCAAAAAATTGAAGCTGACCCGTTCACCGATAAAAGATAAGGAAATTCGACCGCAAATCTCCTCCCCAACGTAGCCCACGAGCAGCGACTATTCGACCGCCCACCCCCCCCTCAACTTCCGATCTCGAACCTCGATCTTTCAGCAGTGTTTTGCGCAAGCGAACTAGAACGGATACCAAAGGTTCATCAGACAACCGTTGCCCAAAATGCCCAAGTCCAAGCGCAACCGCCTCGTCAACATGACGCAGGTATCCAAGAAGACGCGCGAGGACAAGGACAAGCTCTTCGCCAACATTCGCGAGGCCGTCCCCCAGTACCAGCACTGCTTCGTCTTCAGCGTCGATAACATGCGCAACAATCACCTCAAGGACGTCCGCCACGAACTCTCCGACTGCCGGTGCGTTCTGTCCACGCCCCTTGCCCATCATATGTTCAACCCCCAGATTGACTGACAATCCCCCCCGCCCGCAGCCTCTTCTTCGGCAAGACGAAGCTCATGTCCAAGGCCCTCGGCCAGACGCGCGAAACCGCCCTCCTCGACGGTACCGACCGCCTGACGCCGCACCTCAGCGGCACCGTCGGCCTCCTCCTGACGAACCGCGACCCCTCCGCCATCACGACCTACTTCGAAGGCCTCTCGCCCGTCGACTTTGCGCGCGCTGGCACCACGGCGCCCCGCGAGTTCGCCATTCCCCAGGGTGTTCTCTTCGCCACCGGCGGTGAGGTGCCCCGCGAGCATGACGTTCCCATGGAGCACTCGATTGAGCCAGAGCTGCGCCGCCTCGGCATGCCCACGCGCATGGTCCGCGGCCGCATCGTCCTGGGCGAGGAGGAGCCCGCCGAGGACGCGGCCCCCGGCTACGTCGTCTGCAAGGAGGGCGATGTCCTCGACTCTCGGCAGACGAGGCTCCTGAAGCTCTTTGGCATCTGCATGAGCGAGTTCCGCGTCGAGCTGATCGCGTACGTACCATTCCACCCTCTTTTGTCACGAGAACGGCCCACCAATCTCTCTCTCTCTCTCTCTCTCTCTCTCTGCTGCAGCGGCTAACCTTTGCATAGGTACTGGAGTGCCGCGACGGGCGAGGTGACGGACCTGAAGAAGGCCACCGCCATGGAGGAGTAAAACTGGAAAGGGTCTCATACGAAAAGAGAGGAATGTTCAGCAGCATTTGCGTAAAGGTTACGAGTGGTCGTACGTGTGGAAAGCGATACCATCATGACGAACTGCGGAGTTATGGCGTTGGTTGGTAAAAACAGAAATTTGCAACATCACCTTCGTTGTCACGACAGTAGGGAGACGTACACACGAAACTACGTGTCGCCCTCACATCTAGCGAGAGCAGGGGGCGGGGATCACGGACTAGGACATGTCGGCCCCCGGTCTACCGAATGAGCTAAAGAAGCCGTGTCGGCTGAATTGAGGTTCACTACTCGTACAAAACAAAATCAGGCCGTGTCGAGGGCTCTGCGTCGATGACTTTTCTCTGTTGTTACCCCATCCTCGTCTCCTTCGCTGAAACTCCAGATCAGTAGGCACGAAGACCCTTACCTCTGATCTTACCTGCTGCGGGCCGGAGGCGCTGAGCGATCATCGTTGGTAGTCTCGGTGACTACTTCGTGATCAAGTGTACCTAGTAAATACAGACAGAAATGATACCTCCCTAGCGAATGACGCCGGCGCAGGACCGTGATATGAAGCGGTAGTCCTTGCTGGCAGGCAAGGGCAACAGGAGGAGAGTGGTAATGAACGGCGGACGGAGCAGGTGGTGGCTCAGCGTGTGTCGTGTGCGGCGTGAGCCCCGACCAAAACTGTTCTGGTTACAGAAGTGAGCAGGCGAAGAGCTGGCACCCACCGCAGGATCGCGACATCCATGGGGGCCGCACGTGTCTGATTAGTAGCGACGAAGCTTGCGTGGGTCCTCGTAGCCACCGCCGTCGTACCCGCGTTTCCTGTTGTCGTCGTCGCGCGGGCGGTCGTAGTCTCGGTCCCGGTTGTCTCTGCCGTCCCTGCTGTCCCTGCTGTCCCTGTTGTCCCTGTTGTCCCTGCTGTCCCTGTTGTCCCTACTGTCTCTGTTGTCGCGGTCACGGTAGCCGCCCTCACCTCTGGGCCGAACGGGCTCCATGTTGCTGCCTGTGCGTCGGTTGTCGCGGTCTCGGTCACCATAACGATCACGCGGGCCACCGCCAGATCGGTCATCGAACGAGCGACCGCTGCCGCGGTCGAACCCACCACCATTGGAGAAACCGCGATCACGGTCTCCGAAGCCGCCACGGCCAGGGCCTTGGGGCGCATCACGGGGGAAACCATTTGGACCGCCGGGACCGCCGGGACCGCCTGGACCGCCGCGGTCACGGCCGCCACCAAAGTCACCTCCACCACGGAACCCACCGCCGCGGCCGCCAAAGCCGCCGCGGAAACCTCCACGACCGCGACCGCCGTCAAAGCCACCTCGGAATCCGCCCCTGAAGCCTCCTCCACCGAAGCCACCTGGCCCGCCCATGGGCCTAGCAGGGAGGGCCTTCGTGTAGCCTCGGCCGCCGAGGCCACCGCCGAAGCGGCGGGGCTTCCAACCCTTGACTGTGCGGCCGCGTTCGACGTCTACCTTGATACGTCGATCTTTGATTCGAATTCCATCGCAGGAATCTAGAGCAGCTACTCACCGGCGCGCCGAAGCGCTTGTGTCAGTCAACTTTACCTTCAGCATACCTTTGCGCGGATGGTGAGAGGAAGACAAGAAGGAACAGTAGGAAAACATGATTGGAGACGAGGCAAGCTTGAGGGCCTATGGGAGTCTCGAGGGAGGGAAAAGAAGACGCAGGCGAGCCTGAGGGCCTTGCGTCTTTTAGGGGGAAAGGGGGCCGGATGAGGCCGAGCCTCGTCATGGGCTGAACATGTTGCAATGGCAATATTACCTCTCATATCTCTTTCGCGCTCGAAAACGACGAAAGCATATCCTCGATGGGGCTTCTTCTTCTTGTTCTTGGATTTTTCATGGGCGTGCGTGTCAGTGATGATGCGAATCTGGCCATCTGTTAGCAAGAGCTGTCATTCGAGTCAAGGCGCAGTACGTACGCGCTCAATGTTGCCGAAACGACCAAACTCTCGCTCGAGGTCTTGTTCGTTCGCCTCGTAGGACAGCCTTGCGACAATGAGAGTCTTGAAGGCGTCGCCGCGAATGTTGGGGTCTTCATTCGGCTTGTCTGTTGGACCCCACGTCAGCAATGCGCACTCTTGGAGATGTCCCTAGCTATGGAAAGGTTCGCTTTACAATCAACAGGGCCTTCGGCCGCGAGCCGTTCGAGCTTGGCCTTGTGCTCCTGCTTTTTGCGGTCTTTCATCTGCAGCCAGCTCTCCGTGGGAACGTAGCCATCCTGGTCTTTGTACTCGGCGAGCGCGGGGAGGAAGGCAGCGATGCCGGAGACGGGAGCAGTTCGTCGTTGCTCAGGCGCATGGTCGGGGGGCGGAACCCATCGCAGGGGCGGGCGCGGCGCGAACAGCGCAAGCAGGTTGGGTGGGAGCTTGTCAGTCATGTTGACAAGCGGCGAGCATAGTACGGCAGGAAACGAAGGTCAAGAATTGAATGAAATCGAAAAGAGGTGCGCGTGCGCGCGATGACGATTCCCAGTGGGACGAGTTGGTCGCGGAGGGGGTGATGGCACTTTTGGTCGTCGCGTCGTGCTGCAATTTGAAGGGCAGCAGTCGAGACAGCAGAGATCGATCGTGTCGGCAAAGCTCCACAGTTTAGGAGGCCAATTTAGCTGTCGAGACGCCGCTGCAGGTCACTCCGAGCCCGCAGGAATGGACCGTCCTGCTCCTGTTATCTGCATATGCAGCCGCCGCACATACCATCATTGCGGGTCGCGACATCCCCATCCTGCCCCGATGTTCTACCGATCGGCAGCACGCTAAGAAATCTCACGCGACTCTCGACGGAGGCTGAAGGTCCCCTAGGACGAGACGAATCGAATACCCCGAGCTTCATACACCTGGCAGAACACAATGACGATCAAGGCACTGAAGACAGTGTCACAGGGCCAGGTTGGTTCTCATGCGCGACATTCGTACCAGGAATCACCCCACTGACGTTTCCCAGAACGGCCTCGGCGCCTTCATCTTGCAGTGCAAGAAGCTCGAATTCCACTTTTGCGATTGGGCCGGAAGCTCCAAGGGCATGAAGTATGTTGAGGAGACCCCTCGGTCTCGCGATCCAAACACCAATTTGCTAACCACAAATCCAGCGGCTTCATCAAGTCTCAGCTCCCCAAATTCGCCGCCGCGCACCCCCAGATCGAGATCTCCGTCTCCCCGCGACCTGCGAAACATCCTACCATCGTCGGCCACTACATCAACGGCAACTCGCGATCCCTTCTCGTCAAGAACATGCAGCCGATGGACATTCTCAGGGCCGCCGAGTCCATGCGAGACACCAATGGCGAAAAGCTGCGGAGAGCCAACAAGCCCGTCACCAGTATCAATCCCAGCGTCAGAGGCATCTGGAGTCCTTATCACGGCAACGGCGAGGCGGTGTAGAGCTGCAGAGAGAGCTGCTACCAGAGGAATGAGCAAAAGGAAAAGCTGTAACTTGTACGCATAGGAAGAGCGGGATCATTGGATTGGCATCACCGGAGTGCGGCGTCTCTGTTGATGCTTGTACACTAGCACGCCAAATAGGGGGGCGATATACCCCTTGAGAGAATTCAACCACGAACAACCATGACGTCGAGATTTTCTTGTGTGAGAGCGCATCGGTCAAAGCAGTGGTGGGGTATAAGTACTGGTTTTTTTTGGTTTTTTTTGGCTATCATATCCAGGCTAGGAAGAGTGCTAGGTTTGCTCAATCTTTCATGCCGTCATCTCCAAGATATTCCCCCTCCATCGAGGCGTCAAAACGCTTACTGCTTGCTGTTGATGATCTCGACGACTAGATAAAAAGTCAGCTTTTCACTCTCTGCATCAAAAAGGGGGGGAAGGCACAACGTACAGGCAGGCTTCAGGCTCGCGCCGCCAACGAGGAAACCGTCAATGTCGGCCTCCTTGGCGAGGTCCTTGCAGTTCTTCTCGCTGACGCTGCCGCCGTACAGGATGCGGGTCTCGTCGGCGACCTTGTCGCTGACCTCCTTCTTGAGCCAGGCGCGGATGGCGGCGTGGACCTCCTGGGCCTGCTCGGTGGTGGCAACCTTGCCGGTGCCAATGGCCCAGATGGGCTCGTAGGCAATGACAACCTTGGACCAGTCGGAGATCTTGGCCTTGAGGGCGGCAAGCTGCTTGCTGACGACGTCGACGGTGGTGCCGGCCTCGCGCTCTTCGAGGCTCTCGCCGCAGCACCAGATGACGCTGACGCCCTCCTCGGTGGCGTACTTCGTCTTGGAGGCAACGACCTCGTCGGACTCGCGGAGGATGGTGCGGCGCTCCGAGTGGCCGAGGATGGTCCACTTGATGTCGATGTCCTTGAGCTGGGCGACGCTGATCTCACCAGTGAAGGCGCCGTTGGGCTTGTCAAAGACGTTCTGGGCGGCGACCTCGAGGCCCTCGCGGAGCTCGGAGCGGACGAGGGGCAGGTAGAGCGCGGGCGGGGCGATGACGACCTCGGTGTTGGCGTCGAGCTTGGCCTCGTTGAGGTTCTTGACGATCTCCTTGATGGACGACGTGGTGCCGTTCCTGGAGCGCGCAGGGATCCCGCCATTAGTTCCTTGCTTCCCGCATCGGCAGATGGTTATCCTTTCCAGGGTTGAGCCCCGCACTTACATCTTGAAGTTGCCGCCAACGAAGAACTTGCGAGCCATGGTGGGCAATTGGTACGTTTGCTGATTTGTGGGAAAGGATGCGACTTGCTCGAGGCAGAACTGATGCTGGACTTTTGAGACAAAAGTGTAAATAACGCAGGCTGGTAGAGCGAAAGGAGAGATCAAAATGGAGAAAAGCCTCAGCGGAAAGGTAGGATGGTTGAGGGTCAGCTCATGCTTTCCGCACACGCTGCAGCTATGGCGGGGCACTCGCTGTTACAGCCTACCTCAGGGCAATGTCGGGAGGAGTCGAGGTGGAGGGGTAAATCGGGCTGGGTCTGGCACCGGCTGCCACCCGGCTGCCACCAACCAACCCACCCATTTAGCTCCTTGAGCTCCGATATTGTCCTGGGTGCCATTGGCCTTTCCCGGTGGGCCGGTCCTTGCCCGGTAAAGGCCCTGACTGATCGAATCTCGTCAACATCGTCTTCCATCGACCAACACCGTCTCGCCTCGTGACTCGGATCCAGGTCCCGAAGTTTCCTCGAATGGTCTAGTAGATCAGCCATGTCCGGTGCGCCCTTCAGCGTCCTGATCATGTCGGTGCGGGATGCGACCTCGAACAGGAACGGCTAGGTTTGTTCAAAGAATATTGTGTTTGATAGGCAATGACTGTCGGACATGTGGGTTGTAATTAAGTCTTGTGCTGGTCTTTCTGAAATGTTTCAAATTGCAACATCAAGACTGGTTCCAAGGTCATGAATAAACCTGCTGCGCCTGTGTCAATTGACTTAGCTACCTGTGCCTATCTTTCCGTTACCTAACAATTATCCCCATCCCCCTCAACCCAGATAAGAGCCAGGCCCGAGGTATAAGTCCCACGATGTGAGTCAAGCATCTTTGTTTCCTCTCGTCTCTCAAGCATCTCTTACCAACTATCGTCATGGCGCTCCTATCACCAGCTCTACTGCTGTCTGCTGGCGGCGCACTGTTGCTTGTCTATCTCGCCCAGCGCCTCACGTCCCATCTCCGAAAGATCCCCGGTCCCTGGTATACCGTCTTCACCGGTCTCGTCCTGAAGTGGCACGCTTTTCAGGCGAGCCGGACCAAGTATATTCATCAACTACACCAGAAATACGGCCCGGTAGTGCGGGTATCACCTGACGAGGTGTCATATACATCGTACGACGCTGTCAAGGAGATATATGGCTCCGGTGGCAGCGGGTATGATAAGACTGAATTCTACGATCTTTTCAGGGTGTATGGCCGAAGGACCATGTTCACGACACTGAAGAGGGAAGATGTAAGTGCTTGAGATTTCGGAACATCTGAATCATGTCCTCCTAACACTACTCAGCATGCCAAACGAAAGAGGATCATTGCGGATCGGTACGCCAACAGCAACGTTGTCAAGCCGGCGCCATTGTCGGGCATCCAGGAGAGGTCTCGGAGGTTCCTTGATCGCTGTCTTTCATCGGGCCCTGGAGGTCATGACATCTTTGTATGAAAGGCAGTGCCCTAGTTTCGTGTCACTCGTGGTAACTGACGGCTGTAGATGTCCCTGCACGCATATGCATGCGATTGTGTCACCCACCATCTGTTCAACCCGTACGGCACAAACTGCCTGCAGGACAAGCACGATGAAGAAATGATGCACCAGGTGGCATCCGACGACAGCCTGCAGAGTACGTCCGCCGGACATGACAGTTCGTTGAGTGGGGAGATAACCAATCATCGTAGACCGCCTCATTGAGCATTACAATCCGACGTTGCACAAGCTCGCGGCGCGCGTGCTGTACTTCTTCGTCAAACCTCGTGAGACACCGTTGGCAGACAACTACGTGATGGAGTCGAGCAAACGCTCCGATCCGTCTCCCTTCACGCTGCTCAGCCGATTGCACGAAAAGGCGGCAGCGAGCGGCGGCACCCTAGACCAGGCGGACATGGCAGGAGAGTGTCTCGATCACATGGCGGCCGGCATCGACACAACGGGCGATGGCCTTTGTTTCCTAATGTGGCAGCTGTCGCAGCCATCGTCGATGCACTGCCAGGAGAAGCTGCAGCAGGAGCTGCGCAACAACCCAGATGTCGACTTCGACAAGCTGCCCTACCTGGATGCCGTGATCCAGGAAGGCTTGCGATGCTTCCCTCCCATCCCCATGTCGCTTCCCCGACGAGTGCCGCAGGGCGGAAAGGTCGTGGACGGCTACTTCGTGCCCGGAGGCACCATCGTCAGCTGCCAAGCGTACTCTGTGCACACAATCAACAGCCAGGTATTCCCTGAGCCGGAGAAATTCGATCCCGAGCGATGGACTGCCGCAGAGGGTGACGTGGAGCGAAAACGACTCATGTTTGCGTTTGCCAACGGTGGCCGAGGCTGTGTCGGGAAACAGTACGTGTCTCGAGGCAACAGAGGACAGAGTCTTTCCACTGACATGCATATAGCCTGGCCCTTGCTGAGATGAAGATTCTGCTCAAGGATGTTTACTCGCGCTACACGACGCTGCCGGATCCCTCCATGACGGCCGAGTCAATGGAGATGTCGGACCAGCTTGTTTCTTCGCGACCCGTGGGGCAGAAGTGTCTTCTTCGGTTTGTACCCATTTCGGAGGAGTAGAAAGGCGAAGCAAGTGCAAGGCTGTACGGTGGGGATGGTGATGGGGCAGCAGATGAGTAATTGCCAATGCCGAATGCGCCCAGAAGTCAGTCGGCTATCACGACTGACTTGTCTTTGTTAAAGGCTTCTGGCTGCTGCAGGGACTTGTCATCCTGGGCAATTTCGGTGGTGGGAGAAACGGCAGGGTTGACACTGAGATGGGCAATACCAATGCCAATTCCATCCAGATCAGAGCGCCTGCCAACCAGCAGAGCAAGGCTGGCACGTGGGCTACCTGCCTATAAAGCCAGGCGCTATATGCACCCTGCCACATTCGCGGGGAAACCTTGAAGGTTGCACGGGGCATGTCGCCTTCGTCAATTAGCTTCGCTTCATCGATGAAGGGGATCGACCAGGTACCTGTCGTCTGCCTCACTCTACATGGTGAATGACACTGTACTGTAAATTCCACTGTCGGTAGTATTGCATCTCATTCATTCCAAAGAGGAAAGCCTCAAAAAAGCGATGCTAAAAGAAGCAATGACACGCTTGGTGAGCATGCTACATGGACCACGGATCCTTGCCTGATGTCTTGTATAGAAGGTCTAGGCTCAGGCTCCAAGATCTGGTGCCTAGGTAGTCTGGACATACTTGTACGGTGCAACTTCCCACTGCTGGGGTTTGCCTGAGGGACTCCTCTCGCACCGTGTCTTCGCTGCCTGGCTCCCAGCAACCTGAGACTGTGGACCACTGTCAGGCCTCCCAAAGAGGCAGGCAGGCATGGATGGTGCATCCACACGGGTTATGTAAGCTGCCTCAGGCCAGCGTCGCGTCTCCAGGTTCCAGGTCGGGCTTTCCACTTCTCTTGAGGCTCCTCTTTTCTCTGCTGCTGGCTCTCCCCACCACACTCAAAACTCTTCGCTCACAATCCTCCCACTTTAAACCCCCTCCCTTGTGCCCTGCTGCCAACCTAACCCAACGACAACTTCAAAAGCCTGCATTGCGCGCAAAAAACATCTCGATCCACCGCTCCAGCACTCTGCTGCCCCCATCTTACCCCCCCAAACAGCACACAGCTTCTGTCTACACCCACCGGCTCTCAGCCCACGATCGCCACCATTCACTCCCAACACCACCAGACCACCGACCCTTTTCCTGGTACACAGAGCACAAAGCTGTTTATGTATCAGCACGACCAAACCGCCGTCATC